TATAAACATTTTTTCCAATCAGTGACAGTTACAGGCATTCCAGGCATTCCAGCTAGCGGCCCATCTAGGAGATAAAACAAAGGTATTTATCAATGATGGGGATCCTTTAGTACGGCCACATTCAAACTGTCTGTTCAACAACATTAGTGGCTGGGTGTGTCCTCTTTTCCTCGAAGCCTATCTACCTCAGGTATGAGTCCAAAATCGCAATTTTTGTACGGGAAACTCGCTTTTGTCAAGGAAGGTTATCGAATGGGGAAAGCGAGTAAAAGTACCTTTGGGCTGCCTGTTGGTTCATTGAAACTTTTCATGGAATCTTTACCCAGACCTGCAAAGTGCACAAAAAATAATGTGCTATTCTCAAACAGGTACATTCATATACCCATAACCTCCAAGTACCCTGAAAAATTGCTAAAACTATGAAAATTATGTGGTAAACTCCCTTTTATATGGTGACTTGGAGGGTCTAAGATATATATGCGTTTCTGGCCTTGAAAAAAATATACCCTTGGAGGCACATAGATGATCCAGAAACATTAGAAGAGTGACATCTGCAGATATGGATGTATGTGTGTGTGTGTTTTGCTGCAGTGGCGCAAGACCGCGAAAGGGCGGCGAAAGGTTCGCGAAAGGTCTGCATACCACTATTTATAAACATATATGCGCACGAAAACATGATCAGAATTCCTTGTCCCGATTCTTCTGGGGCGCGAAAGGTTCGCGAAAGGGTTGCTTAAGGGCAGTTTTCGGGTACCTTTTGAGCAACCCCCAAATGATTTGTAAATGGAACGTCTTGAAATAGAACATAAAAACCAATTTGAATTTCATTGGGAACACTTGATAGCAGTTCCATTTCATACAAGGGGAACTTCGCAAACACCTATGTTGTTTGTAAAATGGATGGTTCGAGCATGATAACGTGTCCGAACATAAGCAATACTTTTGTCTTAAAATATCTTAAGATACCTTAAAATGACCCCCTTAAGATGCAGCCCGTTCCATAATAATATAAATCAGATATTCTTGGTTTCAAGATTTCATTTTTATGCCATTTCCATAACATAGTGGCGAAACATTTTTTTGCATATCTGGCCTGCTAGGTAGTACAATGGTGGGATTCCATAACATATAAGCCCAAAAGAGGATCCATTCTATACAAATATACCTGTACCCAACCATTACATAAACCATATTTTTATGGAATGGTGGGGTAAGGGTACCTACCCATCAATCAAGGGGGATCATTTTTATATATAATACTTTACAACATTTTTGATGCTAAAGATTTCAATTTCTCTCTCGTCGCTTTGTTCTTTTCCTCTTTGGCTTTGTTGTAGGTGTCTCTGGCGGTCATTGCGCTCTGTAGTTCTTCCTTCAGTTGTTTTACAAGGTCGTTTTTGAATGCCTCTGGGTCAAAAGGTGCTTTCGCCCTTGACGGTCTTACCCTTTTGGGCTTTGGGACTATCGTTGCTGGTTGCGGTTTCTCTTGAACGGATGGTTCAATTATTTCTTCTGGTTTCTCCTCTTCCTTCGGTGCTTCTTCCTGTATTGGCTCTGGTATTGTTTCTTCCTTTGGTTCTTCATTATAAATCTCTTTTACGACTACCTCTGTCATATAGATAATTTTTCATACTTTCAAAATATCGTGCCTCAACTACGGTTTGTTCAATCCTTCTAGTTTGAAAGTTCTGTTTCTGACATCATCGTATTCTATCTTGACGATTTTGTAGGATTGATTGCTCCATTTTGAGTTATACTCCTTCCTCTCCGTGTAGTTGTTTTTTTCTTCTCAAAGACCTTGACCATATCATTCACTTTGACCTCTGGATATTTGCGGGTGTTCTTTTCCCTCCTTGTCAAATTCACCCTGACGTCCATATGGTTTTTGTCATCGTGGGCATCCTTGGGTTTCATTTTCGTGGATGAATGGACGGTGTCGTTGTATTTATCTAACGCTTTGGACAACATCACAGTCCAACTGCCCCGATTAAACCTAACTCTATCGTGTATCATATTTTTCATTGTTCGTATGAAACGCTCCACAACATTGGCGTGAGTTAGGGTTACGACGTGAGTGATGCCTTCTTTCTCAAAAAAGTCTTTTACCCCTGCTTGGAAGGCACGGTCATTATCACTATAAACGGACATTGGAAAACCCATTTTGTTGAAACTCTCTTTCATCGCCGATAATGTGATTGGTCCGGATTTTTCTTTCATAGGGACGACGCTTGCCAACTTGCTGAAGATGTCAATGACCACCAACCCGTATCTCGGTTCGTCGTTCTTGATTGGAATTTTCGTCTCTGGTTCTTTGGTAAGGGGTTTCATATCCATTATGTCAATTTGATACTCACCTTGCGAAGGGTGCGGTGTAGGACGTGTAGGAGTTTGAACCCCTGTATTTTCTAATCTGTTTGTTGGGCTGTTTCCTCATAAAGTTTTCCACATCCACCCTGTTGATGGACTGGTCTTGTTCCTTTGCTTTCTTGAGGGTCTCATTGATTGAACTGAAGCCCGTTTCAAGATTGTAATAGACATTGCTTATGATGTCATCTCTTGATAGTCTCCTTGCCATATATTATAATATTAGATTTTTAAAATTATCAACAATAAAAAAATATACTTAAAAACAAAATACCTATATATAGTAAGAGTAAATAAGATGACTAAATTTGACTGTGGATGTCGTATAATGACAGATGTTATAACCCTGAACGATAGAAAGCAACCTAATTGGAACTACTTGCTCAAAACCTTCGTGAATGTTTGTGGCAAGTGCTACAAGAAGCAAATGAAATTCCAATATATGGAACACAAACTTATGGAGATGGAAAAGCAAAGAATGGACATGTTTTTGGAAAATGAGGATGAAGAACAAGACACATACTTTGACCTGACAGAGTTGAAGGAACATCTCAAAACCCTCCCACCCGATGAAAGACACAAAGTGAAGGATTTTGAGAGGTTAAGAAACCTCGCCGATGGACAAGACCCCAACGAAGGAATGAATGAAATTGATATGGTAGTACAGGAACTGGAAGAGGAGGAAAGAGAAAACAAAAACCAACCTGAACCCGAAAATTGAACGAGCCCCCAAAAACTACTTAAAGAAAAAGTACCTATATATAGTAAGAGGATGCTATTTATTTATAAAAACTGTGGATGTTGTAAGAAAGAAATGACTAAAGTAAAGGTTTGATTGAACAATATTTTTCCCGCTGGAATTTGTGATGAGATATGTGATTACAACCTTCACTGTTCAAAATGTAAATTAAACGATCGGGAGCGTAGATAATTACATAGATTTCAATTATCATTTTGACTATTTTAATGATAAAAAACTGACGAGAGTAGAAAAAACAATATATTTCTTTAAAACAAGGATGGAGAAATCACCTATTTATTTATCCAACACGAACCGAACAAACACTCGGCAAATGAAAAGAGAAATTGATGTTTTAATGGATACATTCAAACTCAAGCAAGAAGTCAAACACGACAAACTGTTCTTAATGGTGATTAAGTCTTTTGTGAAAAGGGAGTGGACAACTACCTATCACTTCCTTAAAAACTTTCACGACCTTACATAATATGAAGTATTGTAAGAACAAGCGGGCGTGGTGGTTTCCTCAAAACGATTGGACTTATACATTCAGAAATAGGGAGTTTAAGGTAAAAGACATTTTGGAAATCTTCTTGCGTGAATACCTTGAAGAACTGTTCAACGGTTATGAACAATATTTGAACATAGAATAAATAAAAGAACACCTACAAAAAGTGATACATACTCAAAGAAAAAATAACTATATATAATAAGAGAAAAATGCCAATGATTGGAGTTAGTGAAGAGGAACTGAAAAGAGATAGAGAAAAATTCATGAATTTCATAAAAGAAATTTTTTATCCTAATTATAAATTTATAGAATATGACCTACTACTTAAGCAAAAACAATCTTTAGAGCAATACGCAGAGTATGGAGAGATAAACCACGACCTTATGAAAGAAATTTATGAAAACATATTTGATAAAGATTTAATCAAAAAACACGGTGAGAGGATACACCATAGAGGAGGAATGACAGCATTACAACAAAACTATTATACACTATTGTCAGTGTTGGGATACTTGATTGACCAACGAGGACTTGATAGAGACACAATCATTTTAGTGTTCTACAACATCAAAACAATTGTTTCTCAATGTTGGGATGGCATAGGTAGTGGTGATGAAAAGTGGAGACATTAAACCTGATGATTAATTCATAATATCTTAATAAAATATATTATGAAGTAATCACCCACCCAAACACAAACAAAAACCCCAACAGTCTAAACAAATCCTACCCCCATTCAATCCAAACATCAACAGTCAAAGTTAAGACCCTAAACCACCCCTAACAATGTCCCAGTAATTCATCAAAACCAAGGAACACACATTGAACATCAACATAAAACCATAACAAGCAACAATGAACGCTGGGATGTCCTAGCATCCCTGTTTTACATTTTTTTATGGGGTTTTCCTGTAAATTTTCCCTTAAACCAATCAATCCATTGAAGATGATGATGAATGGAAGGGAACTTACTACGGGTATCTAAGGGTTACAAAGCAGCTATAACCAGCTACTAGATGGAACTATCCAACCGTTCATAGATGATGAAAGAACAACCATATGGGGATTTCTTGATTTCTTCATTGAAACCTGAGGGATACCAAAAAACAAAAAAAACACTTGTCGGGGTGTCAGGAACAAGTAGGAATTTATGATTAACCACCAATCGCGGGAGTATCAACTCCGCAACATAACACATAGAAATGGAGAAAGAGCATACAAGAGTGATGATGTATAGCCAATCCTTCCCTAGCTCAGAAATTGTTTATCAGCCGCAGAAGGTGCTTTTGGTCTAAAGCCATCTAAAGCCATCCAAAGCCATTTTGGTGGGACAACACCTATTTCTGTGGGATAACACCTGCATTGGTGGTGCCGTTTTCACCTCAGGCCGCGCCAAAGCCAGCCCTGGCTCCCTTCAGCGGCCGTATGTTGATCCAGATCGGGTGCGCCAAAGTGGCGCTTTGGAAAAGGTCTAACTTCTACGGAAAAACTATGGCGCCAAAAAAAAAACATTGGCTTAGGTCTGGGCCATTTTTGGTTGAAAAGATTGAACCTCTGGTGGATTCCGGGATCCAAACCCGGGCTTCAAATCGGGTTTGGAACCCAAAACCTTGGTGATACCTGACAGGAATTGCCTCACCCAGCTGGGGGCCAAACATCCCAGTCGATTTATGGATGTCTACCAGGACGACTCAGCGGCAGAGAATTTGTCAAATCTGGAAGATAACCTCTCATGAGGAGAAATGGTTTTTATTGTGAGCTTAGTAAAGTTAATTGTATAGTAAGCCCCAATATCCGATAGAACTCATTAAAATCCAATCCATTTTTTTTTTTAGATTATGGTAAATGTCTAAAACCCATCTTTTTTGAGGGTTTCTATAAGCTTAGGAGACTCATTGCCAATTGCAAGGAAGACCCTCATTGTTTTCCATGCCCCTTTTTAGGGGGTCTGACATGCTGCAAGTACCAAAACGGCGAGGAGCAGATTGCCATTGCCATTCCCAGCCTATCGCAAGTGTGCAAGCCCAGTCGTTGAAGCCAGTTGATGTTGGCAGAATCGGTAGTTAGTGGTGTCAAGCGGTGATTTGAACATATCTGAAAACGGGAGGTGCCTCAATATTGCAATTCTAATGGGGAAAAACACATGATTTACCCTCTGGTTATTTATAAACATAGCCATGGAACATGGCCCATTTATAGATGATTTTCCCATTAAAACCTCCATTTATAAGGGATTTTCCATGGCTATGTCAAATAACCAGAGGGTAACAATCAATTTCACCAATTGGGTACCCTGGTTGCAGACAAAGCCACCTTTTATTGTGATGGCTTGAAACCAACTGGGCGGTATTTTTATAGTGAAACCATTCAGTCTTCCCCTCGAAGATGGGGTGGTGATCCGTAACATTGACATGAAACATCATGGAAAATCAGGATGACGATTCATCCTGAGAAATCATCATTAAAAAAATCATCATTTTAATCATCATTTCAATCATATTGACATCATCAAACATTATGTCAGCCATCATATTCAACCTATTGGATGAAAAAGGCCACCAAGCAGTCAACCAGCTTCAGGAAGATTGTGAGCTGGTGACTCCCTGCCTGGCAGCCTCTCCGTTCCGCGGCAAAAAATGGGCACTGGGTTGAAGGAAAAGGAACTGGAAATGCCTGGTTTTGACCAAACAGATGCAATTTTCTCCACAATTTTTCCCTTAGGAACCAATTCCAGGATCTGATGATATCTGATGTTTTTTGGAGATGAGTGTGTTTGAAATAATGGTGACCACGAGTGCAAAGCGAATTGATGACAAGATCTAGCTGAGGGTGATGCACCAGAAGTTTTCCTGTGACTGCTTTTTGGGGAGCAATCATGTTTGGACGAAACACTACTTTAACACATCAACCTATTGTGATCTTCGTATCAGAAAGCGAGCAGTAAAGATGAGTTGATATCCATTATAATCCTTTATTATAACTGGGTGATTATCCAAGATCATCAATACTTTTTATCCATGTTATTTCCATGTAGTTCCATTATATTTGGATTATGATCACTAAAGTATCACTGGACCATGATCAACAACAATAATCTATTGGTTTATCACCACATGTTCCAATGATCATTCAGTGGCTCATGATTGGAAATAATCCAGAGATGTTGATAATGATAATAATCATGATTGGTGATAATCCAGTAAATTATTAGAATAATTATCCAGTGATATTCATATTTGTTGATAATCCAGTGATTATGATCAACATCATGATCTAATCCATTTTATCGCCACATTTCCAGTGATATTGGAAATACGTTCATTTATTATTAGTATTATCATTATCTTTGTTATCACCACTATCACCACTATCATCAATACTTATTATCCATTATTATTCATTACTATCAGCACATCACCACTTGGACATATCACCACTATAGTGATAATAGGATAATATTGGGACATGATTATCACATGGATTGGATATCACAGTATATTATATCAGCACATCATATCACCACCAGCTATAATCATAATTGTTGAATTATCACCTATTATTGTGATTATTGAAATATGTCAATCAATTATTGTTATTATCAGCACATCACCACTATTATCACTATCATCACTATCATCACTATTATCACCACTATTATCACTATCATCCATACTTATTATTCATACATTATTATCCATACTATTATCCATACTATTATGGCTATGGGTCAATACCTATAGATACATTTTTAGTGGGATGAACATCCATAAATCCCAGCTATTTTGGGGTTCACTAGGTACCAGGGTTTTGACCCATCCCCTTATCACTATCATTACCACCACTATGGTCACCATGGATTCTCCAAAAAATCAGAAACCCTTCGCATCAAGGCTCTTGCCCGACGCGCTGCGCCGAGCGTTTCTGGAACGCTGTGCCGAGGCGATTTTTCGATTTTTTGGTCGTCGTGGCCTGGTGTGGTGAAGATTTGGGTGTTTTTTATGGTGTTTTTATGGTGTTTTTATGGTGATTTTATGGGATTTAGTGGGACTTAATGGTGATTTTATGGTGTTTTTATGGCGATTTTATGGGATTTAGTGGGACTTAATGGTGATTTTATGGTGTTTTTATGGTGATTTTATGGGATTTAGTGGGACTTAATGGTGATTTTATGGTGTTTTTATGGTGATTTAATGGGATTTACCCTCTGGTAAATTAACATAGACCCTGGCAGTCATCGGGGTTGGAAGACGAGTTTCCATTAAAAATGGGTGATTTTCAGGGTCTATGTTAATTTACTGGAGGGTGATGGGAATTATATCATAGGATTGAATGGTGATTTGTGGTGATTCAATGGTTGATTATGGATGGTGAGTTATGGATGTTGATTTCAATAGAATCAACACATCAAATATCCCATGGTCATTTTGGTAGCGTAGCATGGCCATGAAAGTTTGCCTTGTGATGGGTGCTTGGGACATTTTGATGGTCCTTCGAAATCCAAATGTTGGTCTCATTTTTGTCTCACAACCAGCATGCCATTTTCATCAGTGTTTATGTCTCTGAAACATATCATATGTTTTCCTGAACAAATACAACACAGTCATCAATTTTTGTTCCCCCAAATTACTCAAGTGACAGAATCACATAATATCACATGCAATTTATTCACCATACGTACACATGATTAGCTATAATTCTCCAACATGAATTTATCAAACATATATCAGACATCAGATAAGATATATAATATTATTTTTGTTAGACACATTTAAGTTGATTTAGATATATTTAAGTATCATTAAACATATTCAAACATACAAGTTGTATCATACCCATTATTCTTATGTTACCAGTGAGTTCTCCAAAATTTTCAGGGCGTGACTCGACCCTGCAGGTCGATGCAGGTGCTCCCTTGGTGGCACCTGAGGCATCAGCTACTCCAGAGATTGCAAGATACCAGCGAGATGCTGAGGTGTACAGGCCCGTTGGCCACGACGTCGCATGGTGATTTTCACGACCATTGATTGATTGAAATGGGGGTTCTTGAAATGGGGGATCCCCAAGTCACCATGGCTTTCAATAATTACTCAAGTTGTTCAATATGGGATGATATGGGGGATCCCCATTTTAGGACACCCACATTTTAGAGGCAAAAATATATGGGAAAGCCAACAAATTGATGTTTTTTATGGGTGTGTCTGAAAATGGGTAGACATAAATAAACATGGATACAGATGGCCATTTTCGGGATGAGGGCATTCAAGTTTGGTAGGATCCCTGGAACATGACTCAGTCACCAAGCCATTCCTGGCTGGGGATTTGACCAAGAAAAATGATGGCGGCTGCACGGAGGTTTAGAGCGATTCAGTGTAATGTGCTTAAAATGCTTAAAACAATGCCATGTTTACCACCCATGACTGGGAGTGGTTTATACCACCCATTTGTGGTGATTTTGGGGATGGTTCATTATTGTTTTACCCACAGTAATAGGGATTATGGGCTGATTTATGATGGGAAATCCCTATAGATAGGGAGCTTATGGATAAATGGCTTATGGACATTTATCCAGCCAAGTGCACCCTGGATAACGGCAGGGCCATCATAGGTGGCATGTAGATCTACTTGAGCTATCTTGAGCTAGGGTATGGCGGAGATCCTCTTCCAATATTCATGAATATATCGATTGTTTTTTTTTCAATATCGACGAATATTGATGAATATTGATGAACAACAATTGACACATATTGGTTGTTTGTTATTTTTCCTTTCCTAATTTTTGCGTAGCACATTGTGACGGGTCACAAGTTGGGACTCTCCAAAGGCGCCGTGCCAAGCACTTGCGAAACATCTTCATGATCGAGGCCCATGTCCGTGCAGCTGAAAGGGTGCGGGGTGCGTTACGTTGCCAAGAGAATCTGAGATCAAAAGAGAGAGCGTATAGAGTTTTAAGATGTTGATAATTTTCTAGGTTTTGAACAGTTTTGATATATCATACTTTTTTTCAAACTGTTTTAAGTTCTAAGTGATCTTCACGGAAAAAAGTAGATACACCCTAGGTCATTCCTGACCTCAGGTGGAACTTCTAGAATCTAGAAGGTCGATGTAGAAGTGGTGACTTAGTCTTTGATGGTAGTACCGTACCATTCGATGCAAATGACTTTCCAAACAAACGGTGAGTATCACTATCAGTATTGGCCATGAATCTTATGCTCGCTCTAGAGGATTTGTTGATTTGTTTGTGTTTTTTTCAAGGTTGACTGGTGTACGGATCATTGTTTTTGGGCATCCTCAACGTCACGGGTGTTTCCATGTGTTTTTCCATTTCAGATGGCAGATGGCAGGTAAATTGACATCCCACTGGTCGATTCTACGTCGAAATGGCCATATTTGTGGGTCATGCTATGCTGTGGAAGGCTTCCATTCGGAAAGAGACCTGGGCCTTCTTTTCTTCCCTGCCAGCCGAGGCGCAACAACAGCACCAGCCCTGGTGGTTTGTCATTCCAGAAGTGTGTGGAAAAAACACAAAAAAAACATTGGGTTTGGATCCACTAGTTTTGGACAAACCCATGGACGTTGAAGACCAGCATTAGGGTATCGTCCACGATTTGGGGATCCCTGCAGAGTCAGGCAACAGTAGTAGTGGATAATAGTGGCATTACATGAACTCATGATATTAGTCATAGTAAACTAGGAATGATATAATAGTTACATTCATGGTTTCAACTATATAAGTAATTAATAAATATTAATAATAAGGACATGACATGACTACACTGACCTACACGTTGAACTCCTCTCCTTTTACCAGGTCTCCACGCCAGGTGCGAAGCTATTTGGATCGCGTGCACGAGCGAAGTAAAGAGCTGAAACATCCGAAGCCGCTGGGATTTGCCGCAGAGGTGCGTGGCTGCCTGCAGCGCCAAGTTCATCAAATATCGCAGAGGGTTTGCACTGACAATATGTGTTTGATAATATATATATATACATATACACTATATACATTATATACATTATATATATATATATCATTTATGTATATATTTATGTATGTATATTTATGTATACAATGTATTAGAACACTATACAATATTATACATTATATACAAGTGATCTAATTTAAATACATCACCTTGACTCATGTTGCTTGAGCATTCATTCAAAAAGCAAAGAACACTCCATGAATATCGCCAAGACTAAAAGCCACGAAACAAAAATCATCCTACAAACAACACCAACTCCAACATCACCCCAAGAAATCCCAAGAAATCCCGAGAAATCCCAAGAAATCCTCGCTTTTCCCAGAGATTTCCACATTTCCAGGTGGCCACGGTCCTGGATCAGCTGGGGGTTCCCACCTGGAGTACTATGGCAGGGCCATTGGAGGTACACCTGGTGCAGGCCGGGTCAGAAATTATATTATATATATATATGGAATATATGATATATACATATATATATATGTATGGGTATATATCTAAGGTTAGATACCTTAGATATATTATATACATGTATATACTTGGTGAGATGGGTGAAGATTAAATATCTGAGTTCAGCTAACACCATGCATTTATAAAAAGCATGTCGTGGTCATTCATCCATTGTATATCTGGGTCAACCTTGGTTAGATACGAACTAGTACTTTAATTGGTTGCTCATTTTTGCTATCGTTGTAGTAAAATGATGTAGGATTTACTAACCAGCTAAAATTGGACTTTTTGGCAGGTATCTAAGATTAATCTTGTTACAGCCCATAGGGATATTTACCAACCTACCAGTATAATGGGATGGGATAGGAGTATTTTTAATGGCTCAATTAATTGAGATGATTTGACATGAATTGAACCAACACAATTTGACCAGCAAACCATTTTGGGGAGTGATTTGATCATCATTGAGGATTGAACCAACCAAATTTGACTAGCAACCAGATGATTCGAGATGAATTGAGATGAACTGAACCAACAAGTTGTTGAGAGAAATTGAGGGGATTGAACCAACTAAATTTCAGCAAACAAATTGGGGTGAATTGAGAGAGCCAAAATGGGTCATTTTCATATTAAGACTGTGGGGATTTGTACCGCAGATGAAATGATTTCATTCGCAAGAAATAAAGAAATCATGAATACAAACGTGTTGGTTAAGGGAAGAACTACCCTTTAGCAAGGTTCCTGTAAGATCCTTCGAAAACCCAATGAGTAGTTCCCCACCTGCTAGGTGAAGGTCTCTAGATTTTATCACAGACTTTCACGCCTCCTCTTCTCCTCTTCCTCTTCAACCTCTTCTCCTCCTCGTCCTCAACCACGAGCTCCAGAGATCAGTGGACACTGCCGCACCTCAACCGCTAACGCCAGATCTCAGTTGGCACTGCCGGACCTCAACCGCGAGCTCCAGATCTCAGAAATCATACGCGCATGATTTTGAAAAATGATTCCAAAGAAAATGCACGCATGCATAATTGTTCACGTCAGTAATCATCCATATTCTGTGCGGAAAACATGTCATTGGAAACACATCTTCTAACGCGAGAGGCCAATACCCCTGGCGTGGAAGCTGAAGATGTGGAACCTTGGCCGGATGGGCTCGCATGAATTCTGGATGTGATGGGATACCATTCCGGGATACCTATTTTTTGGAGAAGATGGAAAGGAAACCACACAATTTGGATCAATTTGCATGGTAAAACATGGTAACACCATGTAAAACCGCAATTTTGAGTAGTAGATTTTTCTCTTGACTGTTAAAGCCACCAGTGCAGAAATCGATTTCGCACGAACTGTTGTTCACCACTGTGATGGCAATGGAGAGGAAGGCTGTGCGGCCCCAAACTTGTGAGGTTTACGAATGCAATGAAGCCGAAGCATACTGTGCGATGCGACAGGCCGGCGAAAGTCTCAAGAATGGCAGAGGGAACTTGCAATGCACAGATGTGTCAGTCCATGAACAGTGTATGAATATCAACATCGATGTCAGCAAGAATTGGGGACCTCCCAGATGAGAAACTTCGTCGCAATTTCCATAAATTTCCAACATGTGGAGGTTTGTCTGAGGTTTGGGATGGTTTGGAGGTGTGCTCAGTCACATGTTGCGCCCTCCCCACATCCAAGATTGGCAACTGTCAGGAGGACAGAACCCCACAGCTGACTATGGCTACCAAGTTCCGGCACAAGCTGCTTCAGAGGTGATGCAGCCGAAAATCCCTGGCATCACGGACCATTTACGGCCAATTTGTGGCCATTCTAAAGGGGACTTTCAAAAACCTATGAGACCATCGATACCCAAAGGATAGCTGTTTGGTGGTTGACCTTCAAAAAGGCGAGCCGCGCATTTCAAGGTCCACCCGGCACAGGCTGGGCTTGCAGTTGGTGCACATCAACTACTGGGAATGGAGTCGTCTCAGTGAGGACAGGGGATGTTCTCTCCAAGGGTTGGCGAGTTGGAACTAAGTCAGCAGATGTGCAATGGACAGTTGTCATCATTTGTCTGCCAGTTTGTCTGCCTGTTGCAAGATTGAAAGATCTTTTTCAGGTTCAAAAAAAATCAAAAACATATTGACCCCCAAAAAAAGGATGGCTTCAATGGATTTCAATGGTTGAATTGAGGATGTTCAAGGCACACATGACCAATTCCCTGGGAGGCCAGTAGCTCATTGCTCCCCGGCAGGCCCAACGCATCAACTACATGGTGAAGCTGCAAGCGCGACAAGTTGGCTAAGCCCAGCCCATCCAGCGAGGAAATGTCATCAGTTGTCCAGTTTTATTTTGAGCCATTAAGACTTGGTGGTAAGACTTGGTGGCAAGTCTTGACTAACTTGACTCATCCACACCAGAGATTCCACAGATTCACTATGATCACTTTGATTAAACTTAAACTTGATTTGGTTCATTGAAGATCCCTCCACACCACAGACACGACAGAGTTCCTTCTGCCCATGAAGCGCGTTGAAGCGCCATGGCTGCTCAAACGTTTCACACCCGGCGCGGTTCCGAAAGTTGGGTTCCGTCCGCCTTGCAGCGAATTTGAAGCTTGACAGATTGCAGTCGTCGAGTCGTAGAGTTGTTTGCAAATTAAATCGGGTACCATCGCCAATTATGGCCCCATAATGGATTTTTACTGTGCCAGATGTGCTAGCAAAGACACTCATCGCATCTCATCGCCAAGTTGCCACAATCATTTCATCATGGACATCGTGTTCTGTGCTTGAAGTGTCAGCCCTGTGTGGAGCAAAATGTGCCCGTTGTGCAGATTGTGGGGTGGTTTTCAAACGATACATTGACAGCGAAGAGTGTTCAGAAATCATGGCCTTGGGAATTGTTTATCAAGGATACTCCGACACTTGTTTATCATTATATACATGAATTGTATGCATATATACATATATATGTATATATATATATATTATATATATATATATTATATATATATATATCATTTGATTGTCATGCCTGTTCGACCAGGCTCTATATCTCCGTGTTTCGCTTGAAGACACAATGTGGGTTTGCCCTTTGCCCCGGGGGGTTTACAACCAAATTGGCAAATTTCAATGCAGAACAATGGTGATAAACCACGGGTTTTTTTGGTATCCATGACCTGCCTTTCATATATGCTTTGAGTTTGCTCGTTGATGGCTCAAGCATACCCCTAAGTTGATCCTCTATAAAATGCCGATGCTTTGACTCTATAAAATGCTGTTCCGGGACCCATTTTATAGAGGACTGGCTTGGCCGTCTATAAAATGCCCCTCCAGAGCTCCCTATTTTATCATTTTATAGAGAGCTTCCTTCCCAGCATGAAAGATGATAGAGAGGTACAAGACGTTGCAGATAGATTATGCATTTTATAGGGGGGATTCTTTGCAAAATGTTACCGTCAAAAAATAAGTACCACAAATGGCTTTGTTGGTAGTTTGTTTGGGAAAACATTCATATAAATGCATACATTTATATATACATACTTAATAGATAGATAGATAGATCTGCACAAATTTTAACATTTCACTATGGTACAAAAGCAATTTTTTCTTGTTTACAAACCATAAAAGTGACATTTTTCATTTTGCATCATTTTCCCCACTGATTTTCTCCCGTTGTGTCTCCCCTTTCCTGCTCCCCGTTGTGTCTCCACACTTCCGGCTGCAACCTCGGCTCGCTGGCGTTTGTCGAGTCGGGGTTCCGCCAACGCGCGCGCGTTGGTGGAAAGGCGGAAAGACTGGGTTGTTTTTGCACACGCGTCGTCTGCGGAGAAGCATTTCATAGAGATGACGGAGAGGTCATTTCATAGAGGGTTCCCACTTGCTGTCTGGATGTTGGCTGACGGAGGACCATTTTATAACCAATTTTCTCTATAAAATGCTTCGTAAAGCATCCTAGGGAACAAGTAAGGGGTATGCTCAAGCTCTATTTGCACAATATACATATATAATACATATATAGTATATCAATATATCATGACATGATGTGGGCCTCATGACTTTTATTTCACCCGAAATCAACAATGGATGATGTTAGAGAATACAAGTCTTTATAAATCTTATAAACCCACCTGATACTTTCATGGTCACCTCAAACACGTTTGAAACACATGACCGCCATGACGTGCCGTCGGGACCATCGGGATGGCAGATTCAGAACACGCCTCCGTGTTGGTCGACTGCTTCTGCTGGCTTTCATCGCTTTCATGGTCAGACTGGTCGCTTTTGCCTTCAGTCAGACTTTCACAGCATTTGTGCCTTCAAAATTCAAAGTCGCGCCGCCTGACGCGAAGCACGCGAAGCGTTCTTTGAGGGCAACGCTTTCAGAGGCGGTCGTAGATGAAACAGGTCCGGAAAACTCGGGGGTTGGGACATTCAGATGGGTTAAAAGACCTTCAGGATCCTGAAGATAACCCAATGGTTTTATACATGTTTTTTTCTATTCAATGGCATCTTTTGAGACAAACCTATGATCACCAGGTGAGGTTCCTTCCATAGCGCAAGCTCACCACGTCCCCTTGAGGTTTCGAAACGGAGCAGCCGGTGTTGAAGTCACAAGGACCCCCTAGTGGTCCAGGCGATGTGAAGAAAGTGAACATCGACCGTCTTGGTGAGAGGATTCTGGCAGACTACAGCATAGGCCTGGGGGCCGGGCAAAATGGTGTCAATTGTTATGTTTGTTTACCATCAGGAATGGGGATGAAATCACCATAGATTGGGATCTAGTGGAATCTAGTCATCAAGAGCATGATTTTACTCAGTATGGACGCAGGTTTTGGATGATATTGGTATAATATGAGCCCATATCGCTATGAGAATTACCATGCGAATGTGGGGGATGAAGATCCAGAACGCTACTTGATGTGAACTTTTTGGGCGTAGCAGGGTGACCTGAGCCATTAGAAACTGGCTGGCATTCAATCAACAGAAGACGATCCAGCTGTGCAGTCAAGTTCCTTCTCCAGTCACGATTTTCAGGGATGCATTTCATGACATGAATCCACATGCTTGTTGCTCAAATCTTTATTTTTGATTCACAAAAAAATATCTTGCCAGCAGTGTCCAGTGTCCAGTGTCATACATAAGTCCCAGTGGATTTTTTTGGCAAAAATCCATTCAACCGAGCCACCGACCCTGAGGTACTGCTCAGACCTTGCCCCTCCGTGGGGTTTTGGGCGGCAGTGTCTATGCCAGATCCTTGCGGAAGCAGCTGATCAGTTGCTCCAAGGACGCTCGGAGTGTCATCATCTTTGGTGAACCAGGAACCAAGAAGGACACCGGGGCGGGGCTGATGGCAGCTGTTTCTTCTCCCTGGATATACCCTCTGGTAATTTAACATAGCTATGGAAAATCACAATTTTTTATGGGAAAATCCACTATAAATGGCCATTTTCCATTGCTATGTTAGTTCACCAGAGGGTATACCGGCTGATGATCCTTTTATCGTTGGGCTTGGTTTGGAGTTGTATTAACTCACAAGCACCGCAAATATCACTTTGTAATGGATGAACCAATCGATAATGGACACATCATAGTAATTATATGTGAACCCCCAAAAAGATAGAAAAGTACCACCTCACTCTTAAATAGTGATGAATGCCTAAACTCTATCTTTTGAAGCTTACGATAAACCACTTTTCTCTAAGTGATCACTTGGGTTGCAGGACATGTTGGCCTTTCTCATCCACTTTCACCGGCGAAAGGGTCAGTTGCTCTTCGTGGACTCTGGCACGGTGTCCAGCCTCGGGGTCCGGATCTTCGGGCGGCCGAAGGTCGATGGACTGTTGGATTTGGACAAGGCGGGCGTTGGAGGATCATGAAACGCTTCGAGAATTTACCTATGAAACAATGGTGCATTTTCCATAGCTACAGTGGATGGAAGATATGGAAGAACTCCTGCATCAATTGATAGATGATATAGATGGTTTATCATGGTTTATCCGTGTGCATAGCTATGTGAAACTACCGGCATCACCGTGGTTTTCTGATCACGGATGATCTCGAAGCGGGATCATTTGCCCAAGAGCAGCTGACTTTTAGGGTGAATCATGGTGAATCATTGTGAGTCTTGGGAATCATCCCCACATGTGTGAATCATGGTGAATCATGATGATTGTTCAACGGTAAACACTGTACACGTGATCAATGGATGTCAATGGTAAATCAGCATTTGATTGAATTACAATCATAGACTGGTTGATGATTTATGATGGTTTGCCATGAGAACAATCAGGACATTCAAATGTTTTGGTTTGGAGATTTTCAGGCTTTCAGGATGGTGTCATTCAGGCGGTCGAAACCTCGAAGGGTCGACTGTGTGGTCATGAATCATTGAACTATAGTGGTTTTACTGTGGAAATCAACTGGTTCTCTAAGCTTTCTAGGAAATTATATATCTATAGAAATGGTGGCTTTTCAATACCTATGTCAGTGTATTGGCGAATAAAGGCCACATTGAAGCAGTCTGCCTGTCTGAATAGATATCCACCCAAAATGGATCCCCTGGGAATCGAAAAAAACGGATATTAGTGACTACCATGCAGATCCACATTTCACTAGTGTTCAACATGGGGACTAATATTAATGTGATTGTTTTTTTGTAAAAAGTCATGTGCATTCCCCCAAAAAAAGTCCATATGAATTCTTGGGGAAACATAACAGGCTGCGAGTGTCTGATGTTGGCTAAGAAACCTCCAGGAAGGGACGCTGATCTTCAACAACGTCCACCGACTGAATAAGCAGCTCCTGCCAGCCTTGGTGGAATTGGCCCAGAACGGCACCTATTGGTCCAGGAAGTTTCAGGAGACCCGAAAGAGCAAGTTGAAGATCATCTTGATTGCAGAGGACGATGGCTTTTGAACTGTTTCGGGGATTCAGCTCATTTTCCTCAATGAATGGTTCCAATGGGTTTCATATTTCTTCCGGAGAAGGTCCAAAATGCGCATTGAGAAAGTATTATAATAGCTACTATCTCAATACATTCAATACTTTATATATATATTTTTTTCTTGAAGTAAAGATATACCCTCTGGTTATTTAACATAGCCATGGAAAATGGGCCATTGATGATTTTCCCAGCTAGAAACCTCCATTTGTTTTGGGGAAACCATGGCTATCCGAAGCCCGGCTTCCAGGACCAGTTTGAGGAGCTGAGCTCCATCAAGGCGGCTGTCCGGATCAAGGTCCCTGCTCTCCGCGTGCGACGGGCGGACATCGAAAGCATGGTGAAATACCAGCTGAGAATCTTGGCTGGTGAAAAATCAGAACACTCCATGAATATGGCTATGGGTCAATACCTATAGATACCAGAAACTATAGTGGGATGAACATCCATTTTAACCCAGCTATTTTGATGTGAACAGAAGGGGTACTGTTGGTTTTGACACACTGCCAAGACATGCCAAGACATGCCAAGCCACGAAAGAAAAAGTCATCCTACAAACAACACCAACTCTAACATCATCTGGTTGGTGGTTTGGAACATGAATTTTATGACGTTCCATTCAGTTGGGAATGTCATCATCCCAGCTGACGAACTCATATTTTTCAGAGGGGTTGAAACCACCAACCAGATATTTATCCATATTTTCCATATGTTTTTTTTCCCAGATGTGTTCATATTTTTCGATGTTCTCATGGGCTAAGTGTTTTTGGACTATGTTCGATTTTGCTGCCGAATCCACCAATCTAAGGAATCCTGAGCCGCACCTATGGCAAGCAAGTGCCACGAGTGGAGCCTGAGGCCTTGAAACGCTTGCAAGCCTACGAATCTTGGCGGTTTTCGTAGGATGTGTCTCCCACGAATTCCACCGGGGATCATCGGGGATCATCGGGGCGCGTTGGGATTTGGGAGTCACGCGGTTTTTTTGGACACAAAGGCTGGAAGCTTGTGTGATATACTGTATTTCAACCAGTTTCTGTGGGGAGTTTGCACAGACGGTTCATTTTCGTGATTCCTGTTGACCCTCATAGTATCCTTATCTGAAAATTATCTGAATGCGTCCATCCACAAGTTCTGCACACAGCATCAATGGCCCAGTCAGGTATATTTCGTTCCATTAGCTTCAGCTTTGCTACCTGCAAAACCATTGAAGCCCTTTGCTTGTTGGTTTGAAAAAAGATGTTGATGTGATCCCTAGTTTTAATTTTGTTGCTTCACAAGGCCCAAAAAACCATGGGCAAATCTATAGTGCCGATGTCGGTGCCCGCCTCAATTGATCAGGATTATCCCAACAACGTACAAGAGCTGTTTTCCCTGATTGACAATGCGTGGGCCCACCTGTCGGACGGGAGCAGCTTAACCGCCGAAATGCTCTGGACTGCGCAAAGCCCTAGCAAGTTGGACACGTTCAAGGTGGGTTAGGGCAGATCTGGTGCCATTCACAAAAAAACAGGATTATAAACTTAAGCCCCAAAAAAACTCACTTAAATCACCTGCCATTTTTTTGAAGTTCACCTGACTTTCTTCAGGGATTGATACAAGACTTGGACATCACTGAAGTTCTGAACCATATCGTTTGTTTCTGGCTTTGTCGCCAGGCTGTTTCTGCGGTTACAGCCAGGTAAACCTCCTGGACGCCTATCCGGGCCTGCGGAAGTTTCTGCAGTCCAACTGGCTGGAGAGGTTGAATCACGGCTTCACCAAATACGTCTTTGCAGCGCTGGTCATTCTTCTTTTCATAAGCAGGAAGTGGGTTTGAAAAGAGATGGGATATCGGGGTACCTGCAATTTCACTGGATGATCATCATGTCATGAACATACTGTACTTGATCAATCTTGATCAATTGAACATTATTTTTTGTGGTATATCATTTTTTTGACAAATCCAGGTGGCTGCAAAAACTTGGGAATTTCTTGGGTGGCCAAACGCACGCCAGAAGTCATGAGGTTAGTAGAGTGGTTGATAAGCTTGCCGACAGGTCAAGCTGATGCAAGCTGGTACATGACGCGGGTCAAAATTGGGAACAGAAAATGGCATGGTCACCATGTTCCCATAGAATTGTATATGTGGGAGCCCCAATACCATAAAGCTCCAATTTTCGAGGGTTTATACAGTTTATACATGTTTATAACACCCATCAACACATTCCAATGTTGCGGGGATCACCAGACAGCGAAGGTCCACAGAGCAGAGATGCCAACTTTGGGCTCAACATCTTCTGGGCCTGGTGGTGGCCAGGCGAAGGTTTCCGAACAGAAGGGTACCCAGCCATCCATGTTTTTACGGATTTTCCAGTAAGCCATCCAGCGTTTTTGGGGGTAGCTCCATGACTATGGAAACCTCCGAAGCTTTCCATGAAAACATCGCGCATCCCCGTTCCGACAGGCATCCTGTTGACCTACCCAGTGCTGGGGCGCTTTTGGTGCGTTGGATCCTGAGGAAACCAAGGAAACCAACCCTAAAACAGGACTGCAGATGTCAAAGACAGATAGGTCAGATAGCGTCCAGATAGCATCCAGAATCCCCTCCCAGTCAGATTATGAACTACAGGGGCTTGATGGGGCTTGTTTGGAATATTGACATAGGATGAAGGAATGGCTCAAAATTAGTGACCCCATGTGACCCCTCAAAAAAAGGATTGTTTCAGATCCTCAAAAGACCAGCAATTTGTGATCGACAAGACCTTGAGGCAGTTTGCCCTTTCATGATCTACGGAGAGATCGTGCAGCGTTGGCGTATAGCTGACGGTGCTGTGATGCAGAAGTGGCCTCAATCGGTGGAAAAATATGGCGCTTGGTTTTTGTACGTACTATTCTTCGGCATCCTCATGTGGGAGGAGACGATTTGAGCAGCAAAAATGTGGTGTTTCTCAAGATTGGCGTATTCCAAAATTCCCAAACCATCCAATTTGGACGAATTGTGTATGATCTTGAGGGCCAGTTCACCATGTTTATTGGTTATGAGTAGAATTTCTGAAAATTCCCTGATTCCATTTGAGCAAGGCAGGGCTTGGTGTTGTCAAAAATCACTTATTGGACTCATATGTTTTTCCGTGGTTTCCTGTGTTTGTTTGTTTCCCTTAAAAATGTATTGAAGCCTCAGTTTGCTTGGTTTCCCCATTTCCTCTCCTTTTTGTTTCGTTTTCTTTTCATGTGCTTGCATGTCCTTCGATTTCCTTGCAGTTTGTGTTCATCTTTTATGATCTTTTATGCTTCTCTCATCTGTCAGGGGGTCTGTAGATTTTGTGTCAGTTCCTTTTCCTCTTCGCCTTGTCCTCACCTCCTTTGCAAGCTCGTCTCTTTGTGTCATCTCGGATGCACAACTTTGCCTTGAAAACTCATGTGGACACTGCGGTTCCATGGTCAATTCTGTTCGGTTCCGTGTTTGAAGCACCGGTTCCGGTTCCTACCGTTTCCTATTACTCAAACGGTTCGGTTTGATTTTCAATGTTTCAGTTCCCGTTCTTCGTTCCGGTTCGGTTCCGGAAGCTCCTGATTCTACGTTTATATATCCCATTATATTTTTCTTTATTCCAGTATATAAACTATAAATTATAATTATATAGTGATATTTATAGTTTAGATTCAAGGATATCCCATCCATATTCCCAAACACCATCGTAAAGATCCCCAAATCTGTGAGTTTGTCACAGCGCCAGGAGCTATGGGTGCTGGAGGACAGGGTCACCTGAAATTTGGGGGATCCAAAAAAACGAGATCCACCCATTATCAATGATATGATTATATTAAATTATATTTGAATTCTATTAGATTATAATTATATAGATAATGGGTGTCTCCAAATTGTTTTTCATCATATGTCTAATATGATCTAAGATGTACGTATATCCAATATCTCTGGAACCTTTGATGTTTCTGAATGCTGATTTAAAAAAAAAAAACGAGTCTGGCTGATAGTTCTGTGCTGGCTGAAGGCTATCTGCATTGAGGCCAGTCCCTATCCATTTCCAAACGGAGTTATGCATACCCCTAACATCCCTCCGAGGCCGATTGGTCATGTTGAATGGCGTGAAATGACCCACTAAAAAAAACGGGAGATGGGGCCGACGACAGAATCCTGAGTCTGTGTATTTCCACATTTGGGTGGATTAAACATCACTTAAAATGGTGTTTACATCAATGCAACACTTGTCAACGATGCAATTTTAGGTTGGATCTAGGTGAAAATTATATATTTATAAACACGATTCATGATATATTTGCAACCCCCCCAATTTTGATCGATGTTTCGATCCAAGAATTACAAAGTTTTTTTGGGGGGGCCTGGAGGATACGGCCTACTTGTCCTCTTGCTTGCTGCTGTTGATCACTCTTGGTGCGATGGTTGGATCCTGGTTCTTCGAACGTCGCATTTGGTGCCGCCACCTGTGTCCCATTGGTGGCATGAACGGCCTCTATGCCAAGTTGGCCGTGACGGAACTCCGTGCTCAGAATGGCCACCTGGTAGTTTCGCCAGGATGGAGCCACCAAAACCAGCTGATCTGCATAAATGTTAGCACAACTTTAAAAAAACGCGACGTCACTGTACATGATATTAGACGTGTAACTTTATATATATGGACAACTATCCGCATTTATCCAGATTGATAGCTTGTGATGTTGTACTTGTTTATAGATAGGGCTCATACTTGGGAATATTTGGGGATATTATGGCCTATACCGATATTTACATAAATGGTTTCCAATAGGATGTATGCGGTCAGGCAGGGAATGCCCCAGTTTTGGAATGTTTTGGACATACCCGTTCATTAATGGGACCAAACTGTGATTTGTGACCATTTTCCAAGGCAGTTCATCGGGAAAGCAGGCCATCTTTGATTTTTGATCGGCATCATGACCATAATTATATTACCCAGATGCGAACCATGGTGCTGGAATATTTACCTACATTTACCCCAAAAATGACCCAGTTTTGTAGGTGTGCATATTCCAGCACCATGGTGAGCGAATCTGGGTTATTCAAGACTAGCGATATTTCATGAGGTGAAACTCCTCGCGAAATCCTCCGATTATGGGGGTCACATCATCCACAGCCATGGTGACGACCTGGGGATGGCCAAGGTCAATGCAAGGCGGTCTGCAACACCTTCCACTGCTATAAGGGTGGACCAGCTGAAGGTGAAGGACGGGAAATCCCATGGAAATGTGCTGTTTTTTTGCAAAGAGACCAGGTTTGATTACCAGAGGCTAAGACTGATGAAGAAAAACCCAGCGCCACTGGGTCACCTGCTAGGGCTCCTGGCAGGACAAGAGACGGATGGGTGTCCACTCTATTCTCATCCCGCCAATCTGAAAGACAACAAGAACTGCGTGCTTTGCTTCACATGCCTCCGAGCCTGTCCCCATCGTAATGTGCAGCCTGGTCGAACTTGTGGACCTCACCAGGGTGCTAAGAAATATAAAGGACCATAAAGGACCATAAAGGACCTATAGATTTGTTCGCGGCTTCTGTTTTCACACCCATACTTGTTTGGTTAAGCGGATCCCATCTTTGGTTGCTCAGATCCCAGTTGTTGGGTGAACTTTTCCGCAGCAGTGGATGCTTTTTTGTTGCTACCGTTGGGTTGTTGAGAGATCCATCATTCCCAGTTGGGTGCTATGACTGGGGGTTTCCATAAATGGGGATATCCACAAGAATGGATGGTTTTCATGGAAAATCCCATCATCTATCCCATCTATCAATGGATGACTGGGGGTACCCCCATGGCTGAACGGAAACCTCCATGGCTGTTCCAGCCAGAAATCCTCCTGATGGAACTGACCATGAAACCCGAGGCAGTTGAACCTCCGTGCGCCTGGCGTAGACTTCGGCTTTCCGTTTCTCTTTCCGATTCCAGGCAGGACGCGACTTCGCCGGACTTGGGGCCCACCATGCGAAGTTCATTTTGTGGGATGGGATAGATCTGGGTCATGGTTATACCATGTTATACCATGTTTTACCTACTATGTTCTAGCAAATCTGAATGTGTGCAGTATGTTTTGGGAGATGTTAATAGTGTTGATTCTGATTGGGTGATAGACTCAATGTGTTGGGAAGCCTTTGGTAAAGGCGTAAAGTGTCGGAAGTGTCCCTTGAATCCTAGAATCTATATGGGCCAATACCTATAATAACGTCATATTCTTGGGCATTACCAATCATTTTTTCAGTGTTTGGATACCATACCCATATTCCATCCGTGCAGTATTTTGATCATGTGACAAAGTATATCCCATAGGATCCATGAATGCCATATATGGTAACATTTACCATCAATATACCCCAAATGTTAGCATATATACCATACATGGATCCTATGGGTATGTGTACATTGAACCCGGGCCGAACCCCGCCCTGTGCCCGGGGTTTCTTTGCAAACAACTCCGTAGGCACGAAGACAGCCGCGCAACATGATCCAAGTTTTCCAGAGCTCGCGTTGCTCTTCCTCCTTTTGGGAGCTGTGTTTTGTCACCACTTAGAGGACCGGAAAAGCCTGAGGCAGTGGGCCAAGCTCCAAGCCACTTTACATTAATGGTTGATTTGTTAAGTGGGCTGCTAATTGATACTCAAAGTGAAAATAAGTGAAATAAAGAAATTATGGGATTCAATATCAGCACAGAATTCTCTATATATATAATTATTGGAAATTCATATAGGATGTATTTTTGATCAACAAATCAATCGGGATGTTCAACGCCACCTGGAAACCACTGGGCTCCAGGATATGGTTCTCCAGTTCGGACAGTCGCCAAACGTCTTGGCAAACTTCGAAAGCCACGCCTTGATCGCCTGCCTGGCTCTGCGTCTGGGCAGTTGACCGTAGTTGACCGGACCCATCTGAAACCCAGATTCGACTCGGACTGGGATTTGCGAAAACAACTCAGCGATTTCAATGGATTTCAATGGATGAGAATATGTCATAATAATTCATAATATTTATATATATATATATCATAATATATCACCACAGTAAATCATGTGCTTCATATGCTTCATCTGCGTCAGAATCGATGGAAAATTGATGCCATCCATGATAAAATCCTTGCTTCATCGGCACCGAGGCTCTTTCCGGGAGTGTTGGTGTATGCAGCAGATCGACTGATGAGACAGTTATGCACCATATTCACACAGGATCGTATACCTCCCAACGACTTCTTGCAGCTGGCTTATAGCCACCTGAAAAAATGGTCGCTGGTGCTGGTGGTGTCAATTTATGATATTAGTACTTTTGCAAAATAACATTAACGAAAATTCATTTGACACATGGTTTGGGGATGAGTCATAATGAGTTGAAACCACCACTCAGTTTGTTTTTTAGTTTTCAAGAGTCACGAAGCATGGCGAAAAAACATAATCAACTTGAAGATGATTTAAGTGACTGAGGTTTGTTCGGTGGAGTCAAGAGAGGTTCGGGTCAAGAGCCGTTTTGATTAATGTGCATCTAGAATCAACAGCTTCCAGGTATAATTGCAAAGAAAGTTTAGTTCTGAACCGTTTTTTTCCTTTGTTCCTTCTGGAAAACACATCTCAATCTGGAAGGGTTTCATTGTTTTGGTGGCAACTTAGGCATGGGCCAAAACCATTTAACATCCATTTAAGATCATCATCCCAAAAATATACAACCAAAAAGATAAACATGCAAAGTTTGATCCCAAGATATTTCAAGATATTACAAGAACTGCTCCTTTTTTTGGATGCTTCCTGGTGTTTGCTTGGCTCGAGCTGAGGTTATTTACCTCTAACCTGGTTGGCCTCTTTAGCACATTACCTACAGCTGGGTCTGGTGGAAGCTGGACAGGTGCCAATCTATTGTACATCCTTACACTCATATTAGCAACACAAAAGCAGTCTTGAGTAGGTCCTTGTCTTTGGTTGCTCAAATCCCCAACCTCCCCATTTCAATATTTTCTGCTCCAACCAACTTTCCGTATATTGAAAAAGTTTGAGATACAATCCCCATTCGGACACATAAATTCCAATTCGAAGTTGCTCAAATCCCCAACTTCCCCATGTTTGATATAACATATGCTTACTGTATATTGAATTGGTGTATATGACAAATTGGACCTCAACCAAAGTCATTCATCCAGCATTTTCCAACATGTTCCAAGTAGTTCATGAACAATCCATGGATTTTTGGCTACCCTCTGGTTATGTCAAAATAGCTATTGAAAATGGCCATAGAAATAGTGGCTTTTCCCATTCAAAATGGTGATTTTCCATAGCTTTTCCAACATCTCCAGGTGCTCCCTGTGGCGGCCCGCACTGGCGCCTACTTCGTGTCGCAGCTGGGCTTCGTCAGCACGGCCTCGTGGCTCCAAACGGACGTGGCGGCGAAGCTGCCGAGCGTGTCCTTCGCGCCGGAGGTGGTGGCGTTTCTGCAGAGCGTCACGTTGATCCTGGCGCCTTGGAGCAGCACCTGAGATGCCATGATTTTGACCCAATATGGGGTGGGCTGATGGTGATTTTTCGGCGTATAGAGGGGGAACTTTATTGACTTTATGTGAATATTGGCTGTAATAGAATAAGAACTCGGATTTCACTGGGATTCCATACTAAGTTGTTATGTTGATCATACTAAGTCACGAAAGTATGACGCTGTGATCTTCTATTTGATACACCCAATTAATATCTATTGATTCGTTGTAGATCCAAGGCTGCGGTCTTCAGCCTACAGAAGTTGAACAAGCTGGGAGGTGTGACCCGGGGTACAGGGCAAAGAACTGAAACGATCCAGAAAGAGTGATGCTCAAAAGCCCTTATATAGGCCTTATATATGGTAGGTACCTCCATTTTAGGATCCTGACATGGCCATTGATTACTTGTTTTTGTTGGTGCACTTCCCATTCTTCACCGGGTTTCCTCGTGCCAGGTGGAAATGTACCCTATCTTTGGATCCATCAGTTGGTCATCCTGGCCCTGACCTGGGAATTGTGGCAGATCCTGTGATTTCACGTGCGGAGAATCTGAGGGCTTGAGCTGGTGGTTTCTATGTAACCCCAGTCATCCTCCCATTGACTTTAGATTTCAACCCAAATGAGTTCAAATGAGTCTGGTGGTCAAGTTTTAGATGGCCAGCAGAATTTGGTACTGCCATTGACAGCAAGTCGGGATGGCCAAAGGTGTACCTTGTTTTTTAGTTCAGAGTATGTACAGTGGATGAACAGTTACTGGCTTTGCTTCATCTGGTGCTTGGTAGAATTGCTGATCTCATTCTTTGGAGGTGATTTTTTCCAAGGAACAGTGGAAGCAGAAGCTAAGACAAAACCGCTTGGCCGCGAAGTAAGGTTGCCCCGTCGAAACAGCGACTGAACAATGGGAGCTGTGTGAGACAGGCAAAGGTCTCAAAGGGTCAAGAGAAAAGAACAAAAATCCCAGCATATCCTGCAGATCCCAGATGCTATGAGAACAGTGTGATCTTCAAGATTGATCGCATATTCATTGATCGATTCGATGTGTTTCGCCCTTTCAACGCCAAACAGACTGAACACCTCGAGGAACACCTCGACGACCAGACTGTTTGTGCTTTGGGATCTGATCTAATCATCCGTCGAAATTCAGCAAGCTTTCCTTCATGACCTTTACTTGTCGTTTTTGCACAATGATCCTCAAATCTCATGCCCCGTTCGACCCACTGGTTGAAAAATACCGTTCTCCAGTGTCGAGGAGATGATTTATGGAATCACGGTTCATCACGCCAGAAAAACCACACATTAATAGCTAATATCATCTCAATTATTATATCATATACTATGAATGTACACAATAGTTAATAATATGTTACAATTACTATTAGTTAGATCTATAGTTGGGCCATTACTATATTATAACATATCATAACATATTATAACATATCATAACATATTATAACATATCATAACATATTATAACATATCATAACATATTATAGCGCGGACGATTGGAGCACTCGCGCACGGCGGCAGCAGTGCGGCGAGGCCAGTCTTGAGGTGAAACAGCGGGCTGTTTTGTACACACATCAAAGATGGGCGAAAGCTCTGGTTGGCCCTCACCCACCTTCCGAGCATAGTCCACAGGCCGCTGCTGGGCATTAACTTGGGCACCAGACAAGCGCAGCTGGTGACAATTATTTTGTTGGCAGACTGATGCTGCCAGAAGAATACCACTTAGGGGACTCAACAGCTGACAAGAATCGTTTGACAAATCAAATTTCAAATTAGCAGGCCAGGGCGAGAAAAACACAAAAGCTGTGCGACCCAAGCCTGAGCCTCAAGTCGTGCAGGTCAGGTCGAAACAATGGATCTAGAAATCGGGTGTGTTACGACTTTTCCTCCATGTCTTCTTCCGCTTCGTTCATGTGGCTGTGGTGCCAACCAGCTGCCAAACTGCTAGCAATAACTCCTATGCTGAAAGTGCTGAAGTCTAGCTAGCAGCACGCCATTTTCCTTACAACTTGCATGTCCAATGCCACTCAAGCTGAGTTGCTACGACTGAATCCGGACCGGTCAGGCAATCACTGAAGCACGCGCACCACCATGACCAAAGTTTCTAAAGGAACATAGAAAGGGTAGCGATGCAAGATTGCACCTTCCAGATTTCTCGTCACAAAAAGCAGGGTCATTGGACCGGCCATATGCTACAAAGGTTGTGATGCACAGGACCCATAGCGAAAAGCTGGAAGTCAGCAATGTGACGCCATTGCAGCGAGAGTTATGATCAGAACCAACATACCAGTAGCCACTGAATCCAGTGGCATGCCACCCAGCCAGACTTGAAAGTATCAAGGTAGCCAAGGTCAAGTGGTCGCTGATTGCCCTTGGAAACAAAGCAGTGCCCACCGCAAGGGGAAACAAAACATGGCTCTGGTCAAGGTTCTGCCGTCTCAGCCGCACCTCTGGAAGGACTTGACCCATCACGGCTATCATAACATATTATAACATATGAGTCAAAATCATCTCAATGATCTAGTTGACCATTACTATTGGAACTATATCATCAACATCATCTCACTTACGCTACGTCCCGGGCTGCTCCACCATGGCCGCGGTGCACTGCGACGCCTCGCCGGGCTGGGGCCGCAACGTGACCTTCGCGCTGTCGCCGAGCGCGGAACGCAGCGAACGCAGCGAGGTTCGACCCGTATGGGGACCCGTGGGACTGGCGGAAGATGGTTGGGAAAGTCTGGGATATGGGTATGGTATACTAATGGTATAATGGAATATTAATGGTTTATACTATGGTTAATGGAATATTAGTGGTTTACTAATGGTATAATGTCCCATTAACAACACTTGGTTATATGGGTATGGATCAATACCTATTAATACCATTACTTTAGTGGGATGAACATCCATTTTAACCCAGCTATTTTGATGTGAACAGAAGGGGTACAAGGTTTTGACACACTGCCATATCGATACTGGACAATGCTAGGTCAATCTTGGATGGGTAATCTAATATTATATAGTGTTTTGGTATCAAGGAGTTTATTTGTTTGGTATCTAAGATTGGCTATGGATACTGGAGAAAATCTGGAGAGGTCTTGCAACCTATCACTACCATGGAATCATATTCACTATCATTCACTATCATTCACTGTCATTCACTATCATTCACTATCTGCAGATCCATGCGAAGTTGTCTTTCTCTGGGATACTGTACTTATATTGCAAACATGAATAGGAAGTACACACTTAAATCTAGTTTTCTTGCCGGGATGAACGATCCAGATATTATGATTATGGCTAGATATGGCTTACGGGTCAAAATTTGGGAAACGGGCTCCATAGGCTACCACAGATGTTCGTCTTTTTTGGAAACATTAAATTTGGAAACTACTGTATTCGATTGTGGGGTCCCAAAAAATGAACTCATCCCAATATTGAATCCATTGCAGAATATGTTTTCTTCTCTTGTTGGATGCTATCGGATTCGAGCCAGTGGAAAACACGGATGACCCGCTTTGTGTTTTGTTTCATGGAAAATGCGCGATTCATCATGCATGCACATGGAAAATGGGGATTTATCTATTATACTACAATATCTATGTAGTTATCCAGTGGAAAAATGTGGAAAATGGATATGTTTTTTGTTTATTCCATGGAATCGCGAAGTCTTCATGAATTAAACACAGTTATCTATTGTACATGTTCATTTCTCCGTTGAGGATCCAGTTGTTTAACCATTGGAAAAAGGGATTTTCTTCATATTCATTGAGAACGGGAACTCATCCCTTTTGAGGGATTTGAGTGCAGAATCAATGGTTTTCCGGTTTACCCGTTCACAACATTTCACAACTGAAAGTTACAATTTGAATTTCGTGTGACGTAGTGAGTTCATCAGGAAGAATCGGGACTGTTCACAAGAAATGACGACATCCAGGATTTCGCCGGATTTCAGCAACAAATTTCACGGGTATTTTCAGCCGAAAATCAACGCCTCAAGCATATTTGGTGCGGTCAAAATCGCCCAAGGAATGGACTGTTCAGCTCTAAGTCTAGAGAATCAGGCTAATCTACATCTGTGAAGTGTCCAATTGATATCTATTAATATGATTGATCAATTAATCTACATCTGTGAAGCTATATATGTTAATTGATATGTGTTAATCATCCACGAAATTCTTGATACCCGATGACCCACGGCGCTCAGCCACGAAGTATGGCACCGCCGGGAGCCTCTAGGAATCGCCGGAGCGCTCCCCGAAGACGCGCTCAGAGTGTTGGGAAGCTTTTCTGGTTCAGGCAAAAGCTGCTCAGGCGGGGGCAGAACTCTTGGAACCACGGGAAAACATGGAAACACCAGATATAGAGGTTTCCATAAATGGGGGATACCCCCAAAAATGGATGGTTTATTTCATGGAAACTCCTATCTATAAATGGATGACTGGGGGTACCCCCATTTCTGGAAACCTCTATATCTATGGCATCTATGGGGACTATGGGGATCAATTTTTCGTGGGATGAAACGGATGAACTTCCTTTACCAGCTATTCCCAGGGTTGGGTGCCCGGGTTTTGACCATAGCCATATGATGGACGAGAAAGTTATGTTTTGCCAATCAAATTAGTTTTATTAATCATGTTCTACAGTTGTAAAATGTGATATACGTAAGTATCTAATCATATCCAATCAGTACAATCATTGAAAGTCTCAATCAAATCAGTTTCCTAGGCGTTTTTTTTGGGATTGTTAGGTCATGTTAGGTCTGTTTGTTTCAAATTTTCCTGAGACTTCATCCGTCGAGGCCACCCAGTGCTTTGTCTTTTCTCATCGCCGATTGGATTGCTGCTCGGCGCCCGTGGGGACTTCCCGTGGGGAGCAGTGGGACAGTCCGTGGGACCTATGACATTTAAAGAACCGGCCAAAATTTTCTGTGCTCAAACCATTGTTTGTAGATGTTTGTTGGGGACAGTTCGGGGTAATGAGCCAAAGCCTGTTGCAATCCCGTTGAACTTGTTGAACCGCTGGGCAGGGCTCAAACAAACGGCCTGCCGTTGAGTCCGATATCGAGACCACCCAGGTGTGGCGTCCAGTGCGCTCATCAACTACCTTCAGGAGGAGTGTGAAGCACGTTTTGCAGATCTCTCCTTCCTGAAGAAATGGTACAAGGTCAGGACTCAGCCAGACCTTTTCGGTTTTCGCCACCGGATCCCGGAGGGACTGATCATCCCGGAGGTTTTTTCTGGTGACACGGAAAACCCCTGGTTTTTTGTTTGGATGTTTTCACCGTGAAGGCTGAATGGGGCGCTTCACGGCTAGGACGAATTCAAACCACTTCGGCTTCGGCATGTAAAAAAATGTTTGGAATCTATGTGCTGAGTCCATTGAGATCCTCTTTTTTAAAAACCGAATCTCATGAACACTTGGAATCTGATGAGATTTTGGAGATGGGACAATGGGATATCATGGAAATCAGAAATTCATCGTTAAATTCTCCCAAAATGGACAGGTCCCACAGGAGGATTTCATGAAATATCCATGAGAAATTCCATCATCTTGAAGGTCTTAGAGTCATCACATCCCCACGGCAGGTGGACGCCGAAGCCGCAATGGCTCTCCAACAAGGAGAATTCAAATGGTGGTGGGGCACGAGGTGTTGGTGATGGTTGATGGTTGCTGCTAAGTTAACGTCAAAAAACATTACCATATGTGATATATTATAGATTTTCATGATTTATCGTTGTTGTTTTTTACCATCAGATGTTTTTGGGTCAAGCACGTTGAGAACCTTGGAAACAGGAAGACATCCTATGCATGTGGTCATGTCAAGCAAGTTGAAGTCGCCAAGTCTCCTAGAAACTGATCACAATTTGCGTTTCAGGCGTTTTAGCCATTCCAATAATTCGAGGGGCTGGCCAGATTCAGTATCCGTAGATCTCCCCATAAAAGGCCACCCAACTGTTCGTTTTCTTTTCACTAGTTCGTATGATTTCATCATGTGATTGGGTTCCAAAAATTGAATGGAACAGTTGCCAGAAGCCCCTAGATTTTGGGATAAAATCCATGATTTCTGGTTGAGGTTTTCCGTTCGGAAAACCAAACCTGACTTGTCAGGTTTGAGGAAGCTGAGATCTCTTTCGTTAGACGGCAATGTGGTGGATACTGAACTTTGGTGCCAAGCACTTCAGGCCGGGGCGGTTTTGTTTAACATATAGCTATGGGTCTGAGCAGATGGTGATTCTCCATGGATTTCCCAATTTTTTTCCACTTCGCCAAGTCTTAGCCAGTCTTAGCAGGTCACCTGGCCACCAGATGGTAACCTCTGGTAAACTAACATAACTATGGAAAATCACCATTTTTAATGGGAAAACTCACTATAAATGGCCATTTTCAATAGCTATGTTAGTTTACCAGAGGGTAACTATATTGCCATTCTTTTTTTGCCCCCACCCTTCGGTGCCCTTCGGTGCCCTTGGGTCCTGGCCGGTCACCACGAGGCACATCCGGGTCTACAGCATTTGTCGTTGCAGAAGACACATCTGGACGACATGGACGCCACACGCTTGGCGGAGGCCAAGGGTCTTTGTTTGGGGAAGGTGAGGCCCCCCGTTGTTGATAGCAGCAAAAATGATGATATATGATGATTGAATGGGATTTAGATAGCTAAGTTGACACACATAAGTTGGTTCACTCGGCGTATGGTCAATAGAACTATAGTGAATGGGGGGTAGTACACCAACATGCATCGCTTGGGGGGGCCTTTTTGCATTTATTTTTTCCTATTTTCTGGATGCTTTTGTGGCTGGAGAATCTAGTTACGCAGAAATCCCTTAAGTTAAATCCCCATCAAAACCCACATTAGGTTGATAGAAATCCCTTAAGTTAAATCCCCATGAAAAGCCACTAAGTTGAGGTTTTTTTCTCCCCATCCCCTGGGGTCCCCTGGGGTCCCCTTGACATCCCCTTGACCCATGAAATTCCTGCGGAAGGTGCTTCGAAGTCAGTCCTTACTCTTCTCCTTGGATCTGAGCAGCAACGAAATCTCGGATCTGGGTGCCTCTGCGTTGCTGAAGGCCTTGGAGGAGAACTTTGTGCTACTGGAGCCTTGGGAAAATTCCCTGGGAACTGTGTGGCTGGGATTCTGGTGAAAAGATGTGAAAAGTTGGAAAAAATTGATGTTTGACACTAATTTTCCAACTGGTTTTCCAAATTGATGTTTCCAAATTGATGTTCGTTGTTTTGGAAACTGCTTTGACACAAGGAATGACACTGTCTTGTAATTACACATCTGTTGCAGGTAGCGCGTGTCAACATATTTTTTTGAATTGCACGTGAGGAAGATTACGGTGTTCGTCTTTCAGATATCGTATTTGTTTGATATGATTTCAGATACCATCACACATATTGAGGCGATGTAATTGGTGGATGTTCATATGATTTCATATGATTTCGCATCTTGAGTTGTGGAGTGAATCTGGCAACTTGTTGGGAGAATTGCCTGCTTTTGAGCTGTTCGTAGTCTCTTGGACGTTGAGCTTGCCTCTTGAGATTCGGTCTCAAACATGTGGGATGTTTCCATGATATTGTTAGCCCAATCAGCTAATATCTGGCTTCGACAGTTGCCAACCAGTCTGCCAGTGAGCCATAGCAAAACAACTCATTGCTACACGTCACACTTCACACATCTTGACACTATACAACTACAATCAAATTCACCATCATCTTTTCCATCACAAGCGACCGGTTTTTCAAGTGGCAAGTCACCCATCATCGAATCTGTCCCATGCCACGTGCTAAGGAGCTCTGTTTGGAAGGGACCGACACCAGTGAAGAGATGCGGAACTCGGTGAACCTGCTGCTGGAGAGGAATCGTTGCAAGTGGGGAGCCCTGATGGGGATATCATCCCCAACGGGACGGGGCTAAATATCATCCACCTGGTAAACATACAAAAAACTGTGGAACATCACCATGCTATTAATGGGTAAATCGGTAAATCAACTATTTCTATGCCCATTTTCCAGTTCGCGAACTGTTTGTTTACCAGAGGGTATACTATACATCTATAGAAGTTGAGGCCCCAAAGGATAGCTACGTTTTTTTTGGCACACAACTTGCCAGTCACTACGGTTGATGGGGGATCCTCACCTTGTAGATACTCTCTGGTAATTGAACATAGCTGTGGAAAATCACAAGTTTTAATGGGTAATGTTAAATTCCCATAAGGTAAATCCCATTATATGTTGTATTGAATTCCCATTGTATCCCATTATATTTCCTCTTAAATCCCATTAAATGTGTATATTATATATAATATATATATATACATATTTATAATATATAATAATATATATATATATAGCATATATATATAATTATATTATATATAGTAATATAATATATCCCATACCTAAAGGGTCAGATTACCCCAACACCAACGATCTCCAACGGTCTCCAACCGGTTTTTTCGGATCGCCGAGGTACCACGGTCGCCGCCCCATCTCCGAATTGCTGCGAAGCTTGCGGCGCGCGCAGGCTGAAGCGGTGACCTGCCAGGTGTGGAAGCTGCCGTGATGTCATCATGAAAATGGGGGATTTTAGCCATGAAAAATGTGGATCTTTTATCATGAAAACTCGGGATTTTACCATTAAAAGATGATATTTTACCACGAAACATGTGGATGTTACCATAAAGAGTGGGGGTTTAATCATGAAAAATCGGAGATTTAATGGGAGTTGAAGGGGATAGAATGGTATATATATATTTTTTTTCAACCAAGTACAAGTGTTTGGGTATGTCTGAAAATGGAATGTAACCTCCAAATGACTATCTGAAGGGAAAATGATGATTGACCAGCAGATGGGGTACAGCAGCCCATTTTCAGACAACGCCATATATTTTACATTATTTTTCCATGGTTACCCTCTGGTAGTTTAACATAGCTATTGAAATGGTGAGTTTTCCAATGAAAAATGCTGGATCTTTCCAATATTTTCCATCGTTTTTTGTATGTAGAAACCAGAGGTTAGGAGTGGGGGACCCTATCCCCTTAACAGCGGCTGAACCCCCGAAAAACATCGCTGTGACCTGGTCAGTTTTGTCCTTTATAACGGTGTTTCACGGAAACCGCCGAAGGTGCAGATGTCCCAAGATGTGGACGAAATTGCAAGCCAAGTTGCTGGGCCGATGCGGCGAAGTTTTTTTCCGCGATCCTGGATCGCTCTTAGGGGTCTTTCTGGTCATGGGAAATCCTAGATATATGGGATGAAACATGGGATGAAACATGGGATGAAACATGGGAATGTAATTAATGGGGCTTACACTGGTAATTTAACATGGCTATGGAAAATCACAATGAATAGATAAGGAACATCTATGTTGAATTACCGGAGGGTAGTTCAAGGTCGACGCGAGATGGCACCTGAAAACGGTGTTCGAAAGAGGATGTTTATAGAACTGTGGGATTCTTATGATTCGATGGTGCATGTGGGAGGTGCGATTAAGAATGAGATCTTGTTGGCGACATATGGATTATGGATTGGAGCCGAAGTGGTGGTGATGTTGAAATGAGCACTGGAGCGCTGTTCAACATATTTCAAAAAATCCCACAATATCCCTATTAGATCACTATAATCCCCTATATAATCATATATATATATAATCTCTATATATTGGCTAGTATAATCTCCTATAATCATCACCCAACAGGGGTATCTTGCCGCAACTTCAAGGTCCCAAGCTGTGCCACCAGTCGTAGGACGAGCCCTAGGCCCTCGCGGCCAGGCGGGGATGGTTAAGTTTTGCCATATCCGCCACATTGTCCCATAGATTTGTATGATATTTAGATATGATATATGATATATTATGATATATATATATGATATTAGTATCATAGATTTGTTTTTTCGATATTTAGATAATATTTTTTTCCCTCCCGTGACTTGAAGCGTTCGACGCTGCGACGGAGCAAGGTTCAAATTCAAAATGCCTGACGGTCTTAGCCGTCATGTCCAATCCGACCATCAAAAGTTACATCCCTCATGCCTTTACATCGTGCAAGAAACTCAGATGGTGGATCTTGGCAGGTATCACCGCACTCAATGCTGGTGATGTCTGTACAGAGACCGGCTGCAATCGCTTTACAGAGTGCTGGAGGATATTCTTTAAGCGGAGCAGTCCGGTAATTGCCGCTAGAGTCTTTGCCAATCGAACAGCCCTGTGGAAGATTGCCCGACAGACGGTGTCTATTCAAGTCAATTTCCAGTGTCGCGATGCCCAAAACAAGGAACGAAGTGGGCTTCGGCGAAGGGGCACCGAACAAGCCCTGGGAGAGCGAGATCAGTCTCATTCGCGGCAATGTCAGTAGCAGCTGCAAAATTGGTAGACGCCAGATGCTTACATAGTCTGGGCGTTCTGGGTCTTTCGGGTGCTCCAGAAGCCCAGCACCATTGCAAGTGGCAAGTGTTGCCATGCATTCAAAGGCAAAACCAAGCAACAGCCAGCATGACCTGGCGAAGCTCGCCCAACCGCAGTGATGGCAGGCCCCACGGAGCTTCTGGGCTACGTATGACTCTAGGTCCATGTGCTTCACCTAGGTCGATGTTGCGGGCTTTGCTCCATGTGTTGCACGGAGGGCCCCCAATGAAAGCAATAACATGACCATGATGAATGTGTGAAAGCCAGTAGTCGCGGATTTCAACCTTTGAAATATCCCCGAACTTGGAGTCAATGACAATGTCAACCGAGGCAGTCACAATGATATGATCAGGAAATTGTTCTGCAAATGAGGTCATGTACCATTCAATGTCACCTCGTCTGCGTCTTCCAGCGTATGCATGCAATACAATTTTGTAACGGCAGACTGGGCGAGGTATGGCAGGGATCAAAGCACGTTCTGCAATGGGCCCTGTGGCAAGGTCTGCAAACCAATTTTCCCATTCATCCAGGCGCACCTTGGACAGTGAATTTGGTTGCTTCGCTGCGACAAGGAATGGCCACTGTTCCACATCAAGCAGGGAATGAATGCATGCAATGACTTGGTCAAAACCTAGACACAAAGGCTCTGCATCAGCAGGTGTGAATGTTTCCAGAAACTCAGACAAAGTACTGCAGCATGTGGTCCAACTGATCGGGTGTCGTTGGATCACTGTTTGCAAGGCATTCAGTGGATCAACATCCGGTTCCAACTCAGCTAGACATATGTAGATGTCCTCCAGAACTTGAATGTCATAGGCAACAAAATCCTGACGATTACCGTCTGGCAAGCGCGGCCCTGATCCATGCAAGAAAGGAATGGCCCCATCTGTTGCTTCATGAAGGGCTCTGTCAACAATCGATCCGGTCCCGGGGGTGGTTGCGCATTGCAACTTTCTGCCGACAAGACTCTGTCTGCAAACATGAGCATGTCTTAGGTGGGCCAGAACTTTTGCACGAGTGTGATACTCTCGCAAACAATTGGGACATGAGGTGCCGTCGAAAAGCCTCCGTGCCGGTGCCTGGAATCCATGGCGTCGGAACATGTGGGCACTTTCACCAGCCCTTGTGGCATGGGCTGTCCTACAATGCAAGCAACCAAAGGTTTTGTTCCCTGTAGTGGACGTGCTGAAAGGCTGTGGAAGGGCAGGAGCCCATCCATGTTGATGGATTATATGTGCAACCCTCTGATGCATCTGAACCGCAATTTCTTCATTCTCTCTTTGCAAACATGCATGGGTAGCACCTTTCTTGATGAGCTTTTTCCAGTAGCCTCCATGATGCAGGATTAAGTCACTCCATGCAGGAAAATGCAGTGCAGGATCAGGCAAACTGGTGTTGTTAAACAGTTGACACCAAAGCCAACGAAAGTCATCTTCAATCAGGGAGACCCATGTCTGATCTTCTTGCAATAGGCCCCAATGTGCAGCATGGCCACAACGGTACAACGTGCCAAAGTAACGCAAGCGACAACATCTGAGAAGCTCAGTAGGAGATGGCAGCCCTGCAGCAATGATGACTGCATCGTCCGTGAGGTGCTCTGAAAATCGGCTACCCAAAAGACGTTTGTAGAGTTTGATGATGCCAGTGTGTATCTGGTCACGGCACTGTTGGGTGTCAAACGTCCATGATTCGAAACCGTACACAAGTTTGCTGAGTACAAGTGTGGCAAAAATTTCCTGGCGCTTCTTCCACGGGATCTGTTGGTTGCGGTACAGCACTCTCCTGTGATGCGTGAATGCTTGGTGTGCAATGCCAAGGCGGCGCGTGATCTCGACACTCGTGACCGTCTTGTGATGAATGATCCCTCCTAAATGAAGGTATCTGCTCACAACTGAAATGCAGTGGGTCTGATTCTCACATACAACAGGAAAACCACAATTTTGTGAGTAGAATCGCCTTCTGAGTGCTCTTGATCCAGATCCACGAAAACACAACATGACTTCTGCTTTCCCTTTCTTGAGGTTCGGTTGCATGTGGGTTTCATGGCAAAGGTCAATCAGAATGCTCAAAGCCGTACCAGTTTTGGCCAACAATGCTGAGTTCGACTGAGCACAGAGACAGACGCTCAGGTCGTCCATCCACGTTGGACCGATAAATGGTTTGGCAGTGGCATCATCAGGAAGGCTCCCAAAAAGATGTGGATGTTCAATGTTGGGAACAAAGGTGAGAACACCTGCTGCAATCAATTTGGATTCGAACTTTCTGAGCAATTTGGCCCAAAGCAGTCCGAAAACGACATCCGCATAACTGTCTCCTGGACGTGACCCTTGCTCTGTTCTGACGATGTCAGTTTGGTCACCAATGGTGAACCAAGTGTCAGTGTGCAGTGCTTGCATGAATCGTTGGACATGCAAAGGTGCACCTGCTTGTGCAAGGGCGGAAGGTTCACTGATCTGCTGGGCAAATTCATGCAATGTCTCCGAAGAGTATCCCAAGTGGTGCGCGATGTAGGCCAAGTGTTCATCATCAAATTCACCACCTACAGCCAGCACTCTAACGACCCGATAAAAGGCTTCAGTGAGATCAAGGAATACAACCGATGCTGGGAAATTCTGTCGCTGTTGCCATCTCAAAAACGCCCGGGTCATGTGAAGTGGAACGCCAACTGGCATGTGGGGCCTACCCCCGAGCTGTTGTGATTGCATGAAACGAGCGTACAGCGAATTGTGTTTCTGCCGCAATGCCCGGTGGATGGTCTTACCTAAATGGCTTGAAACCAAGAGTGACCGATGCGATGAACACTCAGTGGGATCACCTTTGTGTTTCCATGCGATCGCTAATCTGCCACCTTTATGTTCGATGGCTTCTTGGCCAAAGAGGCAGGTTTTGAGCAAGATGGAGTACGACAATCTCGCAAGGTCACGGGCTTTGAAGCGGCACAATTCTGGCGGGATGCCATCCATGCCAACAGCTTTCCCAATCGAAACCCTTCTGAACGCATTTTCTAAGTCAACAAGACTGGGCAGTTCATGGATCGGGACATGGAGGGTGTCAATTTGCAAAAACTTGGCAAGGTTTCCAAGCCATGTTTGCCTGAACTCTGCATGGGTGAGTCTCTGACCACTTTCAATGTGTTGGAAGAATTGGATCCATCTGTTTTGGGCCTCTGCAGGTGTGGCACAAACGTTGCCGTCAATGTCCTTGACCAGAGGTAGACAAGCCCGTTTAACCTTCTTGGGATTGGTCGATCCAAGGTGTGGCTTAAGGCTGTGTAAGATCTCCCCAGCTGGGGCAGTATCCGGCAGCGCTGTGATGTCATCCTGCAAGGCCTGAGCTTTGGATTTCCTGAGGTGTTTGCGCAGGTGTCGTGCCAATACAACGTATTTACACTGCAATTTGATTTGGATACAAAGATTGGTACATGCATATGCCTGATGTTTGCCAATGATATCATCTGCTGTGTCTGGCATCTTCCAGAGCTGAAAGAAGAGACGGAGCCGTGTCAATGAGCGATGGTAGGCAGCGCCATGGAGACGCCTTTTCAGGGCAAGCTTTCTGGCACGAAGGTCCCAAATGTCCCCAGCTAAACATCGCTTCTTGGGAATCGATTGTGAAATTGGACAAGCTGTGCAAACCTGCTGGAGCAGGTGTTTGTTGAGGTCTTGCACCTGTGTTTCAATGTCGGTCGACCAAGGCACAGATTTAATCTCATGGCATGCAATGTGTGGACTATTGGAGCCAATAGCACTTCGTTGAAAGGATGCACCCTTGTTTTGTTTGTGCTGGATTTCCATTTTTTCCTGCCAACACAATTGAAGGCCAACTGCGCGGTGATCATCCTGAGCATTTCCGTGGTCAAACTCATGAAGAACACAAGAATGGGCACAGGAGGAACTCCAACTTTGTGGGACTGCAACATAATCAATTCGATGTTGGTGCATTCCATCAGGCGAAGTCCATGTCGCAGTGGGACCATCGTGCAGGCAGCTGGTGCAGGGCAAATACAATCCGTGAACATGCAGAAAGTCAATGAAAAAGGCAGTATTGGCCGAGCACGAGTCGTCCTGATCAAATACCACGGGTGGCCGTTGAGGTCCACTTTTTGCATTTGCATCAATTAAAAGAATAAGTGGGATGTCTCTGCAGTGTGTCTGTACGATGTCTTGTGTTTCTTCCCACCAAGTCTTTCGTTCACAAAGAGGTCGACCACTTTGCGGGGCATGCATGGAAAGAACATGACAGTTGAGTTGAGGATTCTCAATACGGACAAGCAATCTACGTGGATCAGCATGGACTACCTGAACCTGTGATTTCCTCAAAAACTGAGATTTGCCACCTGCACAACTGATCGGCTGCGCCAGATTGAT